ATCCACCTGCTTCAGCCTCCCGAGTACTGGGATTAAAGGAGTGCTGGCAGCAATACTGACTTTTAACAAGCACCCTGGGATGTTTTCAAGCACCAACCAATTCTCTGGTCACCAAATGGAAATTTAAGAGTCCAATTCTGATTCTAACTACCCTGAGCTAGGACAGATACCACCAGCCACAGTTTCAGAGCTATCCAAGTTTCTTTTCAGAGCTATCCAAGTTTCTTTTCCTATCATTGTAGCAAAAAAAATACCTGACAGAAACAACTGAAGGAAATACTTGTTTTAGCTCCCAGTTTCAGAGATATCAATCCTAATTATGGCAAGGAGGGCATGACAGAGCACATTATTCCATATCATGGCAGCCAACAAGCAGAGAAAATGGAATACAGGAGGAAATCAGGGTAAGACACAACACAAACGGCCCCCTCAAGGTAACTCTCATCCCTCCTAAAGTTCAGGAGCATGTGGGGACATTAACATTTAAGCCATGAGAAGAGCCTGACCTCAGAAGACTGCCCCCTCCTCTTCAGATGCAAGTCCTGGACTTCTGACCAAACAGCTACAGATCACAAGTTCCCAAGAAGACCTTCTAAGGTTTAGTAATAGTCTAGAGTAATTACAGAACCCAGAAAATTAATTTACACGTATTACCAATTTGTTACAGAATCTGCCAGATGGCAGATTCATAGGTGGCTACAGCTATTAGTAATGTACAGTTGACACAAAAGAACACAGGTCTGAACTGCTCCGGTCCATTGACATAAGGATTTTGGTGGTGACTGCTAAAATTTGAAAAAGCTCGCAGAAACACTGCATAGCCTAGAAATAATTTAAATGCTAGCTCATATGATAAATGCATAAAATAGGTGTATCCCATGTTTTACTATTGCCTGAAAGTGACAACAATCTGCTTTATCACCACTGTAAATCACACAAAAACCTGTTATTAAAAGGTAACATTTGTCAAAGCCTACACATGCAAACACCACGCATGGCTCTATTCTCAAGAGAAATGTAAACAACAATGAGGATGCAGTGTTAAATCTTAACTGCATACAGTTAACTATGGCATGATTGCATTGCTGTGATAATGCAGCAGACACCTTCTGCGGCTACTACAGACTGTGATGTAGGCCTTTAATCCCAGCATTCAGGAGGTAGTTCCACAACAGGCTCCAAAGCTACCAAAAAAAAAAAAAAAACCTGGGGGGGAGGGGAGATCTATGTATGGAAAACAAACTACATCTCATAAACAATTATTAGTCAATTAAAAATAAAAAGAGGGGGACAGAGATGGCTCAGCGGGTAAAGGTGTCTGTCACCAAACCTAACAACGTGAGTTTGATCCCGGAGATCCTCAGGGTGGAAAGACAGTCAGTTCCCAAAGGCTGAAGGCTGTCCTCTGACCTCCACACATGAACCTGTTGTGTGATATTTTGATCGCATTTATTGAAAGCAATAAAGTTTGCTTTGAATCAGAGGGTGGAGGAAGCTACTAGCTGAGCAAAATTAACCATAAAGGTTTTGGAGGACTGAGGACAGAGAGACAGGAATAAGGAAATAATCCTTAGAGTCTTTTTGGATGGAGGAACTAAAGACACAGGTCACTGGTAGTTTCTCTGTGACTTCTCTGGCCATTCAGGTTCTTATCCCAATATCTGACTCCTATTTTTTTTAATATTTATTTATTTATTATGTATGCAATATTCTATCTGTGTGTATGCCTGCAGGCCAAAAGAGGGCACCAGACCTCATTACAGATGGTTGTGAGCCACCATGTGGTTGCTGGGAATTGAACTCAGGACCTTTGGAAGAGGAGACAATGCTCTTAACCTCTGAGCCATCTCTCCAGCCCTGACTCCTGACTATTTATTGAGAAAGAATAATTAGATAAATGCAACATGAACCCTGGCATCCATGTGGATGAACACACACAGGATAAAATAAAATATAATTAAAATTTTTAAATAACTAAAGCTACTAGCAGGTAAATCACCATGCCTGATGATCCGAGTTCAATCCTCCAGAACCAAGGGTAGAAAAAGTGGACAGAGTCCAGCAGAATGCCACCTGGACCATCACATACGTGACCCTATCACGTATGTAGCAACACATACACACACATATACATGTAAAAATAAATAAATTTCACACATGGACTCTATCACTAACATGTTACTCGCTTCTCCATACTACATGATCCTAAGTGACTGAACACAGGCACAAAAGTCAGAGTCTACCCAAAACTTATCGTGACTGTTCTTATACTAAATTACATAAAGCCAAGTAAAAGGGAAAGCACAAATAAACTTCAACATTAGCCCTGCTGCCTACTTACCTTCTGAAAGTAGCCTACCCAGACAAACCACTTTGCTAAGAAAACAGCAGGCACTGAGTCGGCCATTTAAATAGCTACCATCAATGGGTGCTTGGATGCCCCCATCATAGTCAAGAAAAAGACATTCTAGATCAGATATTCCAGAGAATCAACCAGCTGGAGAACCCAACGTCTCCAACTTAGGAACTCTGTCATACTGGAGCTCTGGTGCAGATGGGACACCCAGAAACCAGCAACCTCGTGGAGATGAACCCAAGCACCTGAGTCACATGAGGTGACAGACCTACACAAAAAAAGAACCTTCGTTTCTACAGTGAGAACTTTTACATTTCATGAAGCCTGCAAACTGGTGGGACTCTAATCAAAAAGGGGATCTGTGCTACAAAAAGCTGAACTGAAAACATTCTCCCCACTTTGAACAGATGTAACTAGAGTGTAAAAGAATATATCCCAAAAAGAAGCCATCAGAGCCGGGCGGTGGTGGCGCACGCCTTTAATCCCAGCACTCGGGAGGCAGAGACAGGCGGATCTCTGTGAGTTTGAGGCCAGCCTGGTCTACAAGAGCTAGTTCCAGGACAGGCTCCAAAGTCACAGAGAAACCCTGTCTCGAAAAACCAAAAAAAAAAAGAAGCCATCAGACATCTAGCAACAAGCAATATCCCTCACACCTAAAGAGTTAAGTACTCGTTTTCCTGGGGTTTTGGTTGTTTGGGGGGGGGGGGCGCGGAGAGCTTTGGAAAGTAAGAATGAGCACACAAAGAGCCTTAGAACCCTAGAAATCAACAGAAAGGGGCACTCTCCTTCACATTCTGACTATCCGACCTGAGTTCTAATCAGGATACACTTGTTGAAATAGCAACACATTCAGTCATCAGACTGAGGGACCCTGCCTCTTCTTCCACATCTACTGCCCATTTAAGCAGCACACACTGATGCGCTATCCTGGCTCCAGAAACTCAAAGGCAGACTGCAGGAATCTTGCTCAGCAGATTCAGTAACTACATACATGTAATTCTGGTGTGCAATGCATTTCCCAGACCTTCTCTTATGTATTAGAAGCTCCCTGATATAATTTGAAGGCATGTTCTTTGTGGAGTGCAAGCTGAGTCAAACCTCACCTGCCACCACTTGTTCTCAACCTGTAGAGAGGCCAGTGTGAAAGCTAAAATGAGGTCCTGTATAAAAACCACCTGCCCACTGCTACAACCGAGAGAGTCTTCTTAATGTTTTTTTTTTTTTTTTTTTTTTTAAAAACAATTTGTGGCTAGGTAAAGTAGTGCCTCCTTTAATCCCAGCTTTCGGGAGGCAGAAGCAGTTGGTGAGGCCAGCCTATCTACATGGTGAGTTCCAGGCCAGCTGAGGCTACAGGAGACCCAGTTTCAAAAACAAAAACAAAACACCCAGAAGTATTTTGTATTCCCAAAAGATTTAGAACTGTTCTGATAGTGTAGACAACACTACCGAACATTTTTCTAGGTAATCTTTCTTAAGGAGGTATTGTTTAAAATCCTTCACAGGCCTGGTGAAATGGCTCATCGGGTAAATGTGTTTGCCATCAAGTCTGAAACCAGAGTCGGATGCCCGGGACCCCACATCACGGAAGGAAAGACCCAACACCTCTAAACTGTCCTCTGACCTCCACTCACAGGCCATGGAAATGCACACACACGCACACACAAAATAAAATATAAAACTTTTAAGCCTTTCATGAAAAAAAGTACGAACGAGTCACATTCTATATTTCTTAAATCACTTCATCTTACTGACTTAGTTAGGAAATGGGTATTAATCTCCTGAAACTCCCAATTATTTTAAATATTCCCTTGAATTACCCTTTCTGAACTGACTCCACTAGAAACCAATGCCTCCATCCAGAATCTTCCCCAAGAAAACTGACAGGTACAATCAACAAGATGGGGCCGGTCATGACCAGTACAGCTATAATCCCAGCTGCAGGGAGGCAGAGGCAGACTGAGCGACCGATCAAGACTAGCAGAGGCTCCACAGCGAGGCCCAGGCCAGCCAGGGCAAGTGAGACTCTGTTTCAAGAAGGGAAAAAAAGCAAACAAACAATACGAGAGAAATAAAACCATTATCTCAGAAAGACACCCAGACCCTCAGGCTAGCTATTTATCATTTACATATATATGTAATTGCATGTGAGCATACATATATATACATATACCTATGCACACACCCCAAAGCAATCTTGCTTAACTTCTCCCTTCTTGCTACTCATTAAATCTTATGAAATGCAAAACCACTCCCAGCTCCACAACTCTTCAATGATCCAAATCCGCCTTTGCTATGACACTCATTCCTCCAGATCCGAAACTGTTTTCTGGAACAAAAAACACTGAGTAACACTCGTGGGCTATTTGCAAGCCTTAACCACGTCACTAAAACAAAAGTGACAGATCAGTCCTAGCCTCACCCTCGAGTGAGCGTGAGCAGGAGCGACGCTCAAGGCCAGATCCCAGGGTTTATGATTTCCACAAATGGGCTCAGGCCCAAGGTTAGCGGCGGCACCACCTCTACCGCGGCTAACCGCGCGGGCACGACGCGGGGGTGGCGGACCGCACGCCCAGCCCAGCCCCGCCCCGATGGAGCCCTGCTGCAGTCCCGGCTCCGCGCCGCGGGACCCCTGCCCTCCACGTACCTGCTTTGCACACCGGGGCGCTGGGGCTTCTCTTCTCCGCCGAGGGCCGGCCCTGCTCGGGGGACCTCCTCCGGTGGCGGACGCGGGCGGGGGGTGGGGCCGCACTCACCTCGCCGCCGGGCCACAGGTGGGTGGGCGACGAGCTGGGCGACGACACGGTGCCCAGCAGGGGCGGCGGCGGCTGCGGTCGCGGAGGGCTGCTTCGGGCCGCAGGCGCCGTGCCGCGCGTGGGGCTGGTACCGCGCGTGGACGTCGCGGACGCGCCCGTCTGCGTGGCCACGGTGGGGCTGGTGCGCGCGGCCGCGCTCCCGCTGCCGCCGCGCGTGGGGCTGATGCTGCGCGAGGCGGTGCGCAGGCCGCCGCCGCTGCCGCCACCCGAGGGGCCTGAAGCGCCTCCGCCGCCGCCGCCGTTGTTGCCGCCGAAAAAGCCGCCGCCACCACCCCGCGTGGGGCTGCCATGTTGCTGCTGCTGCTTCAACTGGAACGGCACGGTCGCCCTCATGGGCTGCAGGCGGCTCCCGGGGCCCCCGGCCGGGCCGACCGCGCCACCCGCGAGGGTGCCCGCGGGCGTGGGAGACCCATTGCGCCTCACCCGCTGGGACATGGTCCCCCCCCGCCCCGGAGAAAGCGGCCCGCGAGCGCCGTAGGGAGGGTGCTGGGCGGCGGAGCCCGGCTGCGCGGGGCCCGAGGGAAGGCCTGAGCCGGCGGCTGACGAAGCCTGACTTCGAGGACGGGGGGCGCGCGGGCAGCGGCGGCCAGCGACGAGGTGGTACAGCCGCCGCCGCGGCTCCTCATCAACAATAGTGTCGCCTCCGGTGTCCCCGCCCCCCGCCGCCGCTGATTGGTGCGGCGTCAGCGCGCTCGAGCCGCTCGGCCTCGCTCATTGGCTGCGCGCCGCTCGGCTCCCGAGGCTGCGTCGGCTCTTTAAAGAGAAAGAGGCCCGCCCCCGAGGGGTCGGGAGGCGGAGGAAGCGGGCCGTGGCGGGAGGGGGGGGGGCGGACGCGGGGAGGGCGTGCGTGCGAGTGAGAGTGTGTGTGCGTGCGAGTGTGTGTATACACGTGAATGCACGCGTAGGCGCGCGCCCGGACACGCGCGTCCCTGCTTCCCGCTGGAGGAAGCCCCTGGGACCCGAGGCTGGAATATGGCCAGAGGAACGGGCTGTACGGGACCGCGGCGTCCCCGGGGATGGTCGGCTCTGATCCGAGCCTTTCCCCCACCCCCACCCCTAACTCATTTCCTTACCACAGTTCCAGCTGTGAGTTAACACGTATTCACGTCTCTTTGGGGGCCCCAATTTTTTTGTTCTATCCTATTTCCATTTACCTATAGGCAGGGCTGGAAAATAAAAGAAATTTAGTCTTACTGGCATTTTATATCCTTTCTGGTTTTTGGTTTGTTTATTTTTGGTTTTTTTTTTTTTTAACCGTACAAAGATCCAAATCTCAGAAAGGTTACATTTGCAGATTAGAATACACTTTAGAGGGGCTGGAGAGATGGCTCAGCGGTAAAGAGCATTGCCTGCTCTTCCAAAGGTCCTGAGTTCAATTCCCAGCAACCACATGGTGGCCCACAACCATCTGTAATGAGGTCTGATACCCTCTTCTGGCTAACTGTATAAATAATAAATAAATATTTTTAAAAAAATGAATACACTTTAGATGGTATCTATGAAGTTATCAAATGGTGCTAACTACCCTCCTATATAGATTCAAAGTAATCAAGCATTGAATCAATTCAGACTTCCCTTACACCTGAAAGAGATGGCTATTAGCTTGCAAGTTTATAAAGTGCTTAGGCCTCTGTTTGCTCCAAACTATTTGAAACAGCTGGGTACACCACCCATGTTTTATTTGTTTATTACATTTATGCATTTAGTATGTGTATACACGCGTGCGTGCGTGCATGTGGAGGTCAGAGGACAGCTGATTATGATTTGCTTTCTAGTTCGATCCATTTGCCTGCAAATTTAAAGATGCCATTGATTTTTGTTTTTTGTCTTTTTCTTGTTTGGTTGGTTGGTTGGGTTGGGGGGGTCGAGACAGGGTTTTTCTGTATAACAGCCCCAGCTGTCCTGGAACTAGTTCTTGTAGACCAGGCTGGCCTCAAACTCACAGAGATCCACCTACCTCTGCCTCATGAGTGCTGGGATTAAAGGTTTCCTCCACCACCACCAGGCACGCCATTGCTTTTTAACACTAAGTAGTACTCCATTGTATAAATGTACCACATTTTCTTTATCCATTCTTAGGGTGAGGGGAATCTAGGTTGTTTCCAGGTTCTGGCTATTACGAATAATGCTGCTATGAATGTAGTTGAGCACAAGTCCTAGTGGTGTGAGGGTTGCCTCCTTTGGGTATAAACCCAAAAGTGGTATTGCTGGGTCTTGAGGTCAATTGATTCCT